GATAAATATGAGAAACAAAGAGAAGAGGATGATATAGAAAGAAAAAATAAAAGCTGGAGTACAACTGTAGCGCGACGCTGTAGCGCGACGCTGTAGCGCGACGCTGTAGCGCGACGCTGTAGCGCTACAAGTATGAACGCTGCCTTAGAAATGAAGTTGGGCGTCGTGGTCGCCAGGTGGGCGGGGCGGTCGACTCTTTACTAGCGATAGGCGCTATCCTCTCGCCTTTGTGAGATGCAAAACTAGTACATACTGCATCCTTATGGGGAGGGCTATGATACCCAGAAAGGGCGTAGGAATCAAGTGAACGTGGGCGCTGCCTTCAACCCCGGATCTTTCATGTGCTGTGTAACCACTTGTGGCACAAACTGTAATGGTGGCGCGTTGTGTAGAGAGTGCTCTCCTTGTTGTTCTTCGTAGTGGTTGCTTCTAATACAAGAAATAGCATCGTTATGCGAAATCCATTAGGATGGGGGGGGGGAGCATATTTGGTCACTGGGGGAAGGTGACCGTATTTGGCCTAATGAGAATTTTTTCACGCATGCTGTATATTCCACTTATGTTTTTCTATTAGCATCGCCCCAAACTACTATTTCTGCTCGGTTGGTCTGAGGTGCTTGCGTGTGATCCCCTCGCCGAGATGGCAAAACGAGAAAAGTTGGTAGAGTGGTAGGTAGGTTGTGAGTGGGGGTCGCAGCGAAGAAGAAAATTGAGGAAGAGAAGGGGAGGGTGAGTGTTAGGGAGTACTGACACCTCCATTTTCATCCGGATGTTGTACTCTGAACTTACTAGTTATTTAAGGGATTGCGGCAAGACTCATCCAACATGCATCCGATGATCTCATGGATTTGTGGTGTGCAAAGTGTGGCGATGAACATGCAAACGGCTGGTGAGGTTCGTGTTTTGCCTTTTTTCATGCTCCTCACTCGCGCTCACACTCATCTTTAGGAGCTCGACCTCAATACAGGCTTGTTCCGTGTGAACGGCAACTGCGGCTACGTGCTAAAGCCTGAAATGCTGTTGAAAGGAATTGGTGCGTACATCCGCCGTTTTTTCCCCTCGGACTTGTCAATAGCGTACGTTCTGTTCAGACCCTCGTAGTGTCATCAAACCAAAAGTGAACCTGGGAATCGGCATCATCAGTGCGCAATATTTGCCGAAATCTGCACCCGGAAAGGATATTATTGACCCCTATGTGACAGTTCAAATCTTTGGTGCACCAAGAGATGAATTGAAGTGGAAAACATCAGTCATAAGAAATAATGGTAAGCCTAAAGTTATTATATTTCAGCCCTAGCCGCCTTGATGTGCTTTTGCGGAACTCGTGATTTGTTACAGGGTTCAACCCTATTTGGAACCAGTCCTTCGACCAGAAACTCTATTGCCCTGAAATAGCCATGTTGCGCTTCTGTGTCAAAGACTTTGATTCCACTACAAGCAATGATTTCATTGGCGAATTCTCTATACCGCTGTCCAGTGTGCGAAGAGGTTGGTTCTGTATCCAGTTATTTAGAGGCAAATCCACGAAAATGTAATAGGCTCTGCTTCACAACAGCTGGGCCTTTCTGGTTTTGTGCCCCCACGGAGGTGCAAAATTTATGTTGGGGCGGCGTGGCTTATGAGGGATACCAGTCGGATCGGCCGGCTTCGCCGGCCGATCCTCCTTCCGCGTGTGAAGTGGGTCCCTGTGAGAAGTTTTCCATGTGAGGGAGGGCCAGTCGGATTGGAAAAGGACCCCCCCCCCCTAGTAGACAGCCATCAAAATTTTCTATACGGCACTCCCGTCACTGATGAGGAAGCGCAGAATAAACGGCACCAACCATTTGGTATACTCCCTACGGTTATCCCTCACTAACTTCATCTGCCCAATCATTGCTCAGTTTCACTTACACCCGATTTCCTGGAGGCGAGCGTACTACAATTTTTCTCAAATTTTGGCTTCGAAATACTCAGACACTCGCCTCTGGACCGCGGTCTGAACATTTTGCGGGGGAGACCACCCTCCATGCGCACCTCACTGACCCTTCCGCGTG